GTGGGCGGCAGGGCTCTACCTGGCTGGTCGGGACGGGCCGCAGGCGATGCGGCAGCTTGACAATCCTCTGCAGCCTCTCCATCAATTGCTGAAAGGCAACGGTGAGGTGCGGTGAGGGGTGCCCGGCACCCTGCCCCGGGAGCCTGGCACCACTGCAAGGTGCACCGGACACCCCACGGCACCATGGAAGGAAGCTGCAGCCACCCCATGGCATTGTGGTGGGATGCACCGGTTGCCCCCAGCACCGCAGCAGGATGCACCAGCCACCTCATGGCACGGTGGCAGGATGCTCCGGCTGCCCCACAGCATTGGTACCACTCACGTAGCCCAGGTCCAGGAACTCGGCTTTGTTGGCGGAGCTGAGGAAGGCTGAGCAGGTCACCAGGTGGACCTGTGTGTGTGGAGGTGTCACTGCTGGTGCCCCTTGGGGCCAGAGCAGCACTGCCCAGCCCGGGGCCCTACCTGCAGGGTGGGCAGCAGGGAGGCGAGGTGGGCAAGCTGCTCCTTGAACGCCTTCTCCTTCTCCTCGTGTTGGCTGCAGCAGAGCAGGGCATGGCACAGCCCTTACAGAGCATCGTGGAGCCGTCCAGCCCTGGGGCACCCCAACATGCCCCAGGACGGGGGGACACCCCCAGGAGGGGGCTCAGCCTGCGGCCCCTCACCTCTGAACAGCTTTCAGGAGTGTCTTCTTCCTCTCAGAGAGCTGCTCCTGCAAACGGCACGGCTGCCTTGTGTTCTGTGGCTACTACATGTCCCACGGCCACCCGGTGTCCCACGGCGACCTCGGTCCCCTCCCACTGCCCTGGCTCTGCCCGTGCATCGGGCACCCGTGGGCGCAGGGCACGATGTGTGGGTGGTTGCCCCGCACCTGCATGCGGCCAAAGAGGGAATTGATGGCTGCCTCCTCTTCGCTGGCACTGTTGCGCACCTCCTCGATCATGGCCTTGAGGAGGACGATGGCCTCGCGCGTGGAGGTCTGCAGCTCCTTCACGGCCTGCCCAGGGGCAGCAGGGCGGCTGCGGTGCTGTGGGCAGCACCACACCACCATGCCCCCCCCCAGCCCTGCCAGCCCCTGCCCACCATCACCGCCTGGTCCAGTCGCTGGCAGCCCTGCATGTACGCCGTCTCGATGTCGATGCAGTGTGCCCGGCTCTCCCTGTGGGCACGGACATCAGGGCATGGGACGGGATGAGGCATGGGGCAGGTGTGGGGCCAGGGCTGCTTACCCCTGCATGTCCCTGAAGCAGTTGATGCAGAGCATGGATTTCTTCTCGGTGGAGAACATGATGTAGGGCTCCTCGTGCAGCGCTGCAAGGGATGGGGGTGTCAGGCAGTGTGGCAGAGCGTGGTGCAGCCTGGCACAGCGCGGCATGGCGTGGTGCAGCATGGCAGAGCGCAGCCCAGCATGGCACGGTGTGGCATGGCATGGTGCAGCCTGGCACAGCGTGTTGCAGCACAGCACGATACAGCATGGCACTCACGGCACTTCTTGTGGATGTCCTTGGTGCGCTTGGAGAGGGAGACGATCTCGTGGCGGGCGAACATCTTGGCACGGTGGGTCTCCTCACGGCAAGGGGCACAGAGGGGCTGCCCGCAGGTGTTGCAGAAGTACATGGTGTCCAGCTCCTGGGTAGGCAGAGGGGGCGGCTGGCAGGCGGGAGGGCTCCCCGGTGCCCCACTGCCCTCACCGCCTTGGCACAGCGCCGGTCACAGTTGGCGCACTGCACATCCTCCTCGCCATCAGCCGAGCTGTCCACCAGGAACTGCAGGAGCCGGTCCACGGGGGGCAGCCCTGTGCCCCCCCTCACCACCGAGGGATGCCTGTGAGTACGGGATGGGATGGGGACATGGAAGGGATGGGGATGGGACAGGGACAGGGGTGGGATGGGGATGAGGATGGGGACAGGGATGGGGACAGAGATGGAGACAGGTGTACAGATGGGATTGGGACAGGATGAGGATGGGGACACCTGCCCAGGGCAGGTGGGGGCGGGTTTTGGGG